TGGAAACTAACTTGTTTCATGTGTATCTAATATCTTCCGAATAGCATGTTAGGCTTCATAAACCTTTACACACAATTCATTAAATGTGATCAAAGCCCAAGACAGATAATTACAGCATGGATCAGCAAACAGCTTTTTGTTGTGCTTTTGATTTTTCATCAAATAACCCAATGGTGGAAGGGTAGTATTTTGCTGTCTTAAATGCTCCATATTTACATGTCAGAGTTCCCCGGTCTCACTAAATCTGTTTACTGTGCAGTTCTTAAAATAGCAAACCATTCTCTCCATTTCTGCAGTGTGTTGACAGAGTCCCACTAATACATTTATAAGTGTTGCTAAATGTTTTGGTTTGCTACAGCTAACATGAATGAACTGTGTCAATATGTGGGTTTTCCTTCTTGTCTCTATATTTACTGACTTATAAACAGGAGTAGGTAGTGGTATAGGTGACCTCTGTTTCCCTAAGCAGGGTTGGGGAAATCAAATAGTGTTTGCAGTCACTATCATTGACATGTTATGGAAACTGTTAAAGATAGGATCGGGTTTAATTGGGGTGCACATATGGTTGAATATTGTGATAACTCATAATTGAGGCTCACATGATAAATAGCCTCAGCAGCCCTTGGACACCTTCCCAGGGGCCCAGCCTATATCTATTTCCAGGAGAGGCTTTGAAATTGTTACAATGAAAAAATAATTTCAGCTGGACCAGGGTGGTCCAACCTTTTCGCTGCCGAGGACCGGATTCCCTATTTGAGAAATGTCTGCGGGCCACATAAGCAATATTTTGTTTCCCTCAGAAACATCACATTTACACAGCACCTTTTTCATGTTGGAAGGACATCTCAAAGCGCTCGACACTGTCGACCGGGCATCTGAGCTGGGAGTGGGAGCCAAGGGAGATGGGATGGGGAGGGGAAAAGATGACCGAAAACGTGGTCAAAGAGTTAGGTTTGACATGGCTTGAAAGAGGGGAGGGAGAGAGCGAGTCGGAGGGACTCCAGGAATGGAACTCCAGAGAGCAGGGGCAAAATGGCGATGGTGGGGCAAGCTGGTGTTTGCTCTGCAAAGGGAACAGCCAGGTTGGGAGGTTCCAGAGGGGAGCGGAATGATGGATGTACAGGAGTTTCTCACTGGGGAAAGAGGGAGTTTTCTGTGAGGAAACCTCACATCACATCACTCGGTCTCTGTCCTTGCCCCCCCACCCGTGACCAAGGGAGACTCAGATCGTCTATCCTGACAGTGAACCACGAAACACTTCTCTCTCTGCTCTCTCATTTTTTTTCTCTCTCTCCCCTTTCATGTTCTCTCTCTCTCTCTCTCAATCATTCTCCCCCTTCTCTCAATCACTCTTTTCCCCCTCTCTCAATCACTCTCTCTCTACCCTCGCTCATGCATTTCTCGCACACACTCTCACACCCTCTCTCTCTCCTCTCACACTCTCTCTTCCCTCTCGCACTCTTTCTCTCCGCTCCCTCTCAATCCCTCTCCCCCTCTCACACACTCTTCCTCTCTCAATTACTCTCCCTCACTGTTTCCCACACACTCTCTCCGTCCCTTCTCACACACTCTCTCAATCACTCTCTCTCTGCTCTCCCTTTCTCTCCCTCCCTCTCTCTATTTCTTTCTCTCCCCCTCTCCCTCACATTCTCTCAATCTCCCCCTCTCTTTCCTCTTACCCACACGCTCTCTCAATCTCCCCCTCTCGCCCTATCAATCCTTCTCCCCCTCTCAGTCCCTCCCCCCGTCCCTCTTCACTATCTGCAGAGGCAGGAGCCGGCGGTTGCTAAGGACGCAGTGGATAAAGAGACGCACTTGCCTTCTTGACAGACTGCAGCAACGGCTGGTATTATTTCCACTCTCCGTGCTGAGTCCTCCCAACTGCCGGCTCCTGCCTCTGCCCTGGGAGGACGCTCACCAGGGAGGGAGGGAGCAGAAGTTGGAATGTTGGGAATGATCTTGGACCGGATAAAATCACCGGCCGGGCCAGATGTGGCCCGTGGGCCACCATTTGGACCATGCTGTTGCATATGAATGCATTTTGCGTATTTGATGGTTACTATTTTCTTAGTTCAATTGCAGTTACTTGCTTTATTTATTTTCCACTTGCGTCATATGTATGAGTTGAGACTAACATTTAATTTATTTTGAGAGTTGAAAATTCAACAGCAACAAAATTACATTTGTATAGCACCTTTAAAATTCATATTTAGCCAACCATTCTCTCTAAAATTCTGAATACTTTTCTTTTGACCAATATATTTTTCATGAAGAGTATTTCAAGCATCAAAACTAAACACTGTAGGCTCAAAACTTCACTTTGTCTTAGCAAGTAAGGCCATTTTGTCTCAAAATACTAGATGGCTTGAGATAATAGAAAGTTATTAAATTAAGATATAATTTGGAAACAGGGTTCATTTACAACTGTAGGAAACTAGCTAGCAAATTCAGACTGAATGTATGAATTCTTTGAATTTAAAGACAAAATAATGTTGTGGACTAGGTCCAGGTGGAATTTCAGGGCTTGTGTCGACCGATCTCCCATTTAACTTATGTTTATCTCAGGCTGGTGTTTCCTTAGTCTGATTTATCTCAGCACTGCAGCACTACACTTGAGTAAAACAGAGATGAAATGTACTGGATTTATATAAAAATGTAAGCCTATATAATGCTGTTTAAAATATGTTTTAAACTACACTGCTTTCTTAGTCGTGCAGTTTCAGATCTGAAAACAGTGGTTGACTCCTGCAGTGTCCTACATTATTGTCCCCAGAGAATATTGGTTACTTGTCACCAGCTGCAATAATTGGGCAATGTGCACTTGCAAGTAAATTAAGTTTCCGGGAAATACTCAGCGAGTGCCACTCTCTCAACTCCTGCATACCACTTTGCCCATCATTTGAAAAATTTTCTCCCTTATTTAAAGTACACGTTTTGTGTGGGTGTGTGTGTGGGTGCATATATGATAGGAGAGTGGTTTGTTAATTTCACAAGAGTTACATTTAATAATCATCTTTTCGGTCTACTACTTAGAGGCCTCCAAGTAAAATAGATAATAATTTGGCCATTTTAGATTTCAGAATGTTATGTTTCCTTTCTGTAGAGATTTTCACAATTGTGTGCTTTGGGCATGTCATCCTTTGATGTTGAGTTCAGAGCAAAGTGCCCAGGCTCAAAGTGCATAGATTATTGGTGACAGGACAGAAGATGTACATTACTGAGTTACATGAGAATCTAGAGTTGTGGTTGATTTGTCTTTTCAGAAACAAAAAGGCTTGCATCGGTTATTCATTGGAGATGCTGCTGGTAATGAGTTGGGCAGTAACTTGCATGAAATACTAAGTGGTCTCTGTATGTAGAAGCCATGTATTTTAAGTTGCTTATTTTCTTTACTGTAGTGGTGTTTCTATGCACTTGGCATAGTTTGTGGTTTGGTTGTATTTTTAAACATGAAATAATTCAAGTAACCGCACAGCATGAGTGAGAGTTTTAATTTGCAGAGTGGAGCAAAATGGTTCTACCTCCATGTTTGCCTTTAATTACCTTCATCATACAATACAAAATGACATTTGTATAGCGCCTTTCATGTTGGGAGGACGTCCCAAGGCGCTGGACAGTCAGGGATTTGACCCGAGCTGGGGGGGGTGGTTGGGATCAGGGAGGTTGAATGGCAGGCAAGGGTAGGAGGGTGGCCAAAGGCGCTGTCCAAGAGGTTGAAGGAGTCAAGGGAGGGAGAGAGGCAAAGGGAACATGGGATGGAGTTGCAAAGGGTGGGCAGAGAGGCTGAAGGCCCAACCGCCGATGGTGGAGTAGGACAGGTGTGGGATGTGGAGCAAGCTGGAGCCTGCTGAGTGGAAGGAGTGGACAGGTTCATAAGGTAGGAAGGAGCAAGGCTGTGGAGGGCCATGAAGGCGAGGACGAGGATTTTAAACTCTTATCATTTGGAGGATTGGGAGCCAGTTCTGGATGATCTGCAGCTTGTGGAGCGAAGAGTTGGGAAGGCCAACAAGCAGGGAGTAGGCGTAGTCGAGCCTAGATATGATGAGCGCGTGAATGAGGGTTTTAGTGACCTGAGGGGTGAGACAGTGGCGGAGCCGGGCGATTTTGCAGAGGTAGGGAAGGCAGAGCGGATTATGGCAAGGACGTGGAGTAGAAAGGACAGTTGAGGGTCAAACAAGATGCCAAGGTTCCAGACTGGCTCAGTGAGGTGGAGTGTGCATCCATGGATGGTGATGCAGCCAGTGCCTGAGGTGTGGAGGTGCTGACGGGAGCCAATCAGGAGGGACTCAGACTTGTTGATGTTCAACTGTAGCAAGTTAGCTCTCATCCAGGACTTGATGTCTGACAGACATTCAGTTGTCCTGAAATGGGGGTGGAGGCAGAGAAATGGAGTTGGGTGTCATCCCAAGTAGAGGGGCAAGGAGGTGTAGCTGGAAAGTAAGGAGAGGGGTAGGGATGGGGTTGAGGGAGCAGGTGGTGGATTTCATGTGGGTTATAATGTGGTGAGAGAGGAAGGGGAGACCGGTTCGAAGGTGTGGAGGGTGGGATGGGTAGGGCCTACTCCAAATGGAGCCAGCTCAATCTATGGAAAATGGTTTATCTTACCTTGTTTATACGTGGTGCACTTTTTTCAAATATCTTTGAAAGGGCGAAGGGCTGAGTTAACCCACTAGAATTGGAACCCTAAATTGTCTAGCCCCCAATTTGATGCTCAATTGCCTTTGCAATCCAGGCAATTGATATGATATTTGATGGTTTCATATATCTTGAAAAGTCTTTATAAGCAGAATACTATTTTTTTAAAAGTTTGACCTTCGAAATATTCTTCAGACATGAACTTCATTAATGTTTAACTTGTGTGTAATGTTTATACGTACTGGCACAAGAACTGTGAGTGTAAATTCAGTGAATCTTGTGCTTTAGGTTTGTAATTTACATTGGTGGAGACTGCCTGGAATATCTGACCAACTGAGGCTCTAATTAAACTATTTTCCTTTCAGGGATCCATGGACCGGAAAGTTGGGCCACGTCTTACATTGATTGCTCTGGCACCAAGCAGTCCCCAATTGATATTGTAGATCAGACGGCGAGCGAGAAAGACACCCTGCAGGAAATCCAGGTCGATGGATTTGAGTTTGAATCCTCCAACAGGACACGGATGAAAAATACTGGAAAGACAAGTAGGTCCTTTAATCTGAATAGCCAGAGCTTTTCTAGTCACCTGAACTGCCAATTAAAATAATCTGGGGACATTTAATTGCAATCATTTTATAGAAATGAGCATGTAGGAGCTTTTGTCCTTCCTCAACCTGTAAGAACTATTTAGTGCAGCCCCATGACAATGCATTTTGTTAGAGGGTGGCCCATTTTTAATGTGAATGGGGTGTTGTCTCCAAACTTTTTCAACAACTTTAAATAAAATAAGAAACTCACATCTCAGCAACAGGCATTTGGACAAAGTCCCAAACCGCTTCAAATGCTTTGGAACCATATCCCAACTTGAGGGGAGAAAATTATATGTAAAATTGTATTTCAGGATGTGCTGAAATTTCAGCCCAACACCAAATGCCCAGTAATTGAAGAGCACTCAAAGCTGCCAATATGTTTTATCCAGTTTTGTTTCACAGTTCTCCAGAATTATTCCAAATTTAGCTTTTCTGTGGATAGTGCACATCAATCATTATTGCTGGATGTACACAGCCTAAATACCCGGTGAAATTGGAACCTTTTTTTAATTGACTCACAGTTTAGTTTGTACTGTATTCTTTTACAAGCGATAAGCTATGCAACTGAATAATTATGAGAGTATTCCAAATGTTCCTGCCTCCAAATTATCCCTTTAATGATTCATTTAGATCAGAAACATGATTCCTAACTGCCAAATAAATTATGGATTTAATTTTAAACTTAAAAAATTGATGATCTGAAACAAAATTCCCTCTTTGTAGTGTCGCACTTCAGATATGATGAAATTCCAGTGAGAAGCGTTGCATTACCTCAGAGCCAGTGTTGCTTGCTACATATGACTGGAGCCAATGAAACATCTTGTGGTACAAAAAATATATCCATTCCATTTGAATGCATGCTTGATACCTTTTGATTATTTTCAGATGGAAAGGTTTAGATTTGAAGGAAAAGGCAAACTATTAGGGTAACAACATTCAAAGAATGTTATTCGAGTTACTGTATTTTAAGACGAGGATTACTAGATAATTTGAGTGTAGACTTTTTCAAATTGAAAATGGAAGTAAGTTTGTAATTCTGTTAGCATTTACAAATCATTTATCAAGACATTTATGAGCCGGATATAAAATTAATCTTCGTCATAAAGCTGTATACCAGTTGGGTTCTCATATTCTCTGCCTGGCAGTACAGGTTATATTACCAGTGTTGTTTATTAAACACTGGTTAGAAGGCATGATGATGGAAGAGGATTGCAAGAGTTTGTGGAAGGAGTGTGCCAATTTTTATTTTTTTAATAGACGTTTCAATTTCAAACTATTTCCACCCTTTGTTCAAATAAGAACTTTTTTTTATCATTTATTCTGTAATGTTTCTCACAGTTGCTCTGCCGTATATGTAAAACTACATTTCCCCTGCTTTTTAAAGAGCATAGTCAAACATCGCAACCAATGTGACCCATCTCACAATTATTAACAGATACTTTTTATACGGTTTAGTGTTGCATGTTAGCCAATTTATTGATCTGCTTTTTGAGCACATTGAATAATTTGTATTTGAGATCGGATCCACTCCTTTTTGGCCATATTTTATGGTTGGGCCAATTACTAACTGATCCCACCTTTTCTGTGGTTTACAATTCCTACAATGTATCATCTTGTCAGCTGGCAAATGCAGAGAAGGCATAACTGCAAGCACTTATTAATGGCAATTCAGGCATTTCTAAATTGTAGAAAAATGTAAAGGATAAATTTCCCTTATTTAAATTCTCCCCTATTTTCATATGTATTTTTCTCAAATATGCAAGATGCACAAACACCCAACGCGTTTTCCATATATTTTTTACTATTTCTCCTGGTGTGATTGCTGTGATATTTTGTAATAAATTCATTGATGTAAAGGAATATTTCAGATTGATCAAGCTGCCTCCTTGATAACAGCGTGATAGATATAGCACACTTCTACAGGTAACTGTTTTAATACGTACAACATTTCCTTAAAAATTAAACTTTCAACCAAATAGAAACTTAAAAGGACTTCACAACAACAAAATCAGTGCACTGCCAAGCATTACAAACAATGGATCTTTGGATGACATGAAGTTAAATTTGAGAAATGCATTCAAATGTTTGAGTGCCTTTGACTTGCTAACATCACCTTGTTGCCACCTTTTTTGTCTTTCAGTTGCTATTCTGCTGAAGGATGATTATTTTATCAGTGGAGCTGATCTGCCAGGCAGACTTAAAGCAGCAAAGCTGGAGTTTCACTGGGGTCAAAATAGGGGATTCCCAGGTTCAGAGCATAGCCTTGAAGGAAAGAGATATCCCATTGAGGTGAGAAAGGATTTTAGTTGGTGAACGGTGGTTTTGTCTGATCATGCAAACGTAAGTTATACCGGTGCTGTTTTGATGTTAGTTGATTTATTTCTAGGACAGAGAATTGGAACTCGATTACCATTCAGAATCACAATTGTATAGTGTGCTTAAAGCAGTTTGATAACCTTACCTGCAATTTGCTATTTTCTCTTCAGTTTGAAGCTTTTAACATGAATTGCTAGGATTTACCTTGCAATTCAGTCTCTATGTTTCGCCGCAGGGCTATAACAGTCATTGATGTAGATGAAGTGCAATTTCTGATTAAAGCAGAATATACAAAAGATAATTTGTGGATTGTATGTTTATCATGTTTTTGCTCAATTTACATATTGCAGAATTAAAGAAAGAAAATAATTCGAAGTTTTATTGATGATAAACATCCATTAGGAATGCAAATGCAGACTTGTTATCCAGTGTCAACATCAAGCATTAGCTATGTACATTTGCCTCAATACAAATGACTCAAGGCTGTGAATTCAACAGCAGCAATCCTTCTGGCCTCTCAATTTGATATTGCCAATTAACGCCAAGTTACATACACGCTGTTTTGTGTTGCAGACTTGCACCAATTTGAAACTATATTATGGGAACCCAAACTCTTATGGCTGGATGGAGAGAAAAGAGGATTTCAAACCAGTGTCTTAATCTGCATGAGGATTATGTTAGCTGCAATAAACTGCATGTGTGTTGTATGCCCCAGTTTGCATTAAGACCCGAGTGATGAATTGTAAAAAGGAAAGGATTGGTACCAGATAAATAAAGATTGGAAACCTCACATGGGCAATACCAAACTTTTTTTTAGCAACTTGACATCCTAAGCTGATCAGTTTTCTGGCAGAAAAGCAAATATGTTTGCTAACCTTGGTTCAGTTATGCTCCTATAATTGGTATTCCCCACAGATACTAACTCTTGTCTTTTGTTTACAATTCATTCAGTGGAAAGTGCCTCTGTCTTCATCAGCTGAGAACAGCAACTTGTTCGGGGTCAAACATTGTTCCTTTGTGGCTAACATCCAATTAGCTCTTGGCATGTGTCCTTGTTTGAAGCAGGGATAACAACAACAACTTGCATTCATATAGTACCACGGCCACTGATGGTGGAGCGGAGGGGACAGGGGACAAATAGGAGGCCAGAGTCAGCCAAGCGGTAGTGCACCGGTTTACTGAGTCTGAGGGAGAGCCTGGGGAGGTTGAGGAGTTCAGACCCGCAGGGCAGAAGAAGTTGACGGGAGCCTAAGAGTATGGCTTCCGTCTTGCCGACGTTCAGCTGCAGGAAATTTGCGCTCATCCAGGCCTTGATGTTCGTCAAAGAAGCTGACAGGACATCAGTGGACTGAGGGTCACAGCTGGAGGAGGAGAAGTAGATTTGAATGTCATCCACATACATGTGGAAGCTGGCCCCATGTCTGCGGATGACATCAACGAGAGGGAGAGATAACAAAAAGAAGGGGGTCAAGGATGGAGCCTTGGGGTACCCCACAGGTGACTGGGCAAGGGCGGGAGGAAAAAACATTTGTGTCGTTGTTAGGATAGGATCACTTGATCAAAAGATCACCATCAGGAATAGGCTCCAATAAAAGTTGGTGGATTGATGGTGAAAGCATTTCCATTTTGATCACAATGATCACAATTTATTTTCTTTGGTTCATATTGGTTCTTATTGTGTTCAATCAGCACCTTGGGGTGACCTCCAGACGTGAAAGGCGCTATACAAATATAATTTTGTACTGTACTGTTGTTGTTGTCCTGCTCAACCTATTGCAAACAGAAAGGACTCAGAAAGCTATGACCCCAGCTCTTCCTTCTCCTTAATGTGCATGCAATTTACTAAGTGCATATGCTTACCACTTGATTACAACTAGTTACTGAATGACTGAATTATGAAACATATATATGTGAAAGTTTAAGGAGATTGACTCCGAATGAAAAGGTGATGAAGGGAGGAATATTTATAAAAAAAGGCATCCTGAACTTTTAGCAGAATTGTCCTCTTCTGTATGGACCTGCTATTTCAGGGCTACACACTCAGCAAACAAGCACAATGCTGTTGGATGCAGGATTTGTCTTTCTGTGGGCTGATTGGCATGCTCCAACTGGTGTTGAAGATTCCATGATTTAGGATCACAGTTTGTTTTAATGAAGACATTCGCTGATGTGGCTGAGTGGCTCCTTGTGTATGAATACCCTAAATGACATCTATAGTAATAATAATAAGCCTTGCATTTGATGTAGCGCCTTATCACGTCTATGAGACGTCTCAAAGCGTTTCACAGAATATACTGTAAAGTGACTGTATACTTTGTTGGTGAAACTCTCTCCGTGGATGAGGAGAAACAATTGTATGTATTTTTAATATTACTTGAGTCGGTTGAGTACTTTACATTGCAAATGCTTCTCTTCACTGAACACTTACCTCTTACTATAATACAGGGTGATCAAAAAGTTGTGATATCTATCCTATTATCTAAAAAAAATTCTTTAAGACTTATTAGACATTGTAATGTTATCACAACTTTTTTGTCACCATGTATTATTAATGGTCATTCCTAAATATAACTATTAAGCAGATTAATATTCTAATATGTTATTTGATTAAACATTTGATTAAACATTTCAGTTCACTCCTGTACCAATTTTCCTTGGAGAACACACAGCAAATCAATGTGAAATGATCTGAAGGGTTTGAGATTTTCCCTCTCACAGACACCTTTCCTTTTCATTTATTTCAACATTTTCAATCTGGGTTTGGCAGAGGTTGGGTTGTGCCAAATGGTAATGTGTTGGTCACCAGCAAGCAGTGCCAGAGTGCAAAGGGATTCAGGTTAAATTTTTCAGGCCTATGAATTCCTGAACTGAACTCAGCTGCTATGTAAATATGATGAAAAGAGACTGGTTGGAGTTTTCAAATGCACTCCTTGCTTAACTCCATAAGCTCCTGTTTATCCAACAATTGCTTAAATTTAGGTACGTCAAACTCTGTACGCCCATCACACTTGTCCTTCACTCCTTTCACTGTCTCCCAACAAATCGATTTCAAGATTCATAGAATCATAGAATTATACAGCACAGAAGGAGGCCATTCAGCCCATCGTGTCTGTGCCAGCTCTTTGAAAAGAGCTATCCAATTCAATCCCACACCCCCACTCTTTCCTCATATCCCTGCAAACTTGTCCTCTCCAAATAATTATCTACTCTCTTGAAGGTTGTTATCGAATTGGCTTCCATCACCCTTTCAGACCTCTCCTTTGTTTCTTTTAACAACTATTTTAAATCGGTGCCCTTGAGTTACTGACCCACCCGCCAGTGGAAATAGTTTCTCCTTGTTCACCCTATCGAATCCCCTCATAATTTTGAAAACTTCTATTAAGTCTCCTCTTAACCTTCTCTGCTCCAAGGAGATTAATCCTAATAGCTTCTCTCGCCTCTCCTGATAACTGAAGTCCCTCATTCCTGGTACCATTCTGGTAAATCTCCTTTGCCCCCTCTCCAATGGCTTGATATCCTTCCTAAAGTGTGGGGCCCAGAACTGAACACAGTCTCTCGCTGAGGCCTAACCAGTGTTTTATAAAGGTTCATCATAACTTCCTGACTTTTGTATTCTATGCCCCTATTTATAAAGCCTAGTATCCCGTACGCTTTTTTAACAGCTTTATCTACCTGTTCTGCCGCCTTCAAAGATTTCCCTATATGACCCCCAGGTCTCTCTGTCCCTTCACCCCTTTAAGATTATACCATCGGCTTATATTGCCTCTCCTCGTTCTTCCTCCCAAAATGCAGCACTTCGCATTTCTTCACATTAAACTTTATCTGCCACCTGTCGGCCCATTATACCAGTCTGTCTGTGTCCTCTTGCAGTCTGTTACTATCCTCCTCTTAACCTTCTCTGCTCCAAGGAGAATAATCCCAGCTTCTCTAGCCTCTCCTGATAACTTTCACTGTTTTCTACTTTTCCTAGCTTAGTATCATCTGCAAACTTGGAAATTGTATTCCTATACCCAAGTCCAGGTCATTTATATAGATCAAAAAGAGCAGTGTCCCAATACCGACCCCTGGGGGACACCACTGTACACTTCCCCCTAGTCAGAAAAACAACCGTTCACCACCACTCTGCTTTCTGTCTCCCAGCCAGTTCTGTATTCATGCTGCCATTGTCCCTTTATACCGTGGGTTTCAATTTTGCTTACAAGCCTATTATGCAGCACTTTGTCAAACGCCTTTTGTACAGCGCCTTGGGACGCCCGACGTGAAAGGCACTCTATAAATGGAATCTTGTTGTTGTTTTGAAAATCCATATAAACTACATCAACTGCACTACCTTCATCCACCCTCTCTCCGTTACTTCATCAAAAAACTCTATCAGGTTTGTTAGACATGATTTGCCTTTAACAAATCCATGTTGGATTCACACCTTCACTTCTGCTGTTCACTCCTTAGCATCAAAATTTCAAATTGACATTTGGATTCATGTGCTCTTTAACTGTTGCATTTTTTTTGCATTCAAATTCAGAAAAATGCCTCAGAGAATGAAAAACAAACATCCTCGCCTTCCAAAACAGCCATTATTTTGGTGTTTGATTGAATTTTTCTCACAGTTCTTTGACTTAGAAAGAGTTTCTTTTAAATTTCAGCTGTATTGCTTGCCTGCTTTATCTTTGGTGTTTTTCTACCTTTTATTTCAAAGCTGAACAAAGGTGAGCTAAATTGCAAACAACAGCAACAACTTGCACGTATATAACCCCCTCCACGCAGGGTAGCATCTCAGAGCGTTTAACAGTGGCAACGCCTGACTCTGAGTCGGGTTGGGGGTGTGGGAGGAGGTGGCCATAAGCACGATCAAAGAGGAAGGTTTTCAGGCAGGACTTGTTGTTGACACGCGCGCTCTCAGACACGGAGAGAGAGAGACACACGCGCTCTCAGACACGGAGAGAGAGAGACACGCGAGCTCTCAGACACGGAGA